TTATAAATTATATATAAGCTAAGAGGGTATTTATTTAAATGTTTTGTACTGACCTGCCTTCCGCATCACACACCTCCCACGTGCACCATACATTTGCCGCCTCTGTGAAAACGTAATTTCTAAAAGCCCGCCAAAAAACCTACCTGCATAGGCGCCACAACAACTGAAAGAAAACGTTTTAGAACGCATATAATATGATTCCTGCATAAAAGATAGTTGTTAAATTAAAATATGACTATTTATCTCTGTAAAACACTCTTGCATTTTAGAAAGGTGCTATATACATTTTTTTTTTTTTTTTTACAATCAGGGGCATAGTTACAGTTTCTGGGCCCCCTGAACAGCATAATGACTCGGGTCCCACTCAATAGAAATTGCATTCATTTAGCATTCGATATTGTGGTGAAACATCCTTATAGGTTCTTTTCTGCCTGACAATTATGTGAACATGTGCAACCATATTTTATATGATTTCATCAACCATCTCCCATTCAAACCAAGAACTATGACTATAAAGAGAATTATAACGATAACTACATTAGCGTCCACTTTAACGCACCATAATGTTCTGTGTTTATTATAAATGCATGCTGAAATTTTGTAGTCTGCTGCTTTAAATGCTCAAGATCTTTAAAGCAGGATGGATTCTGTTTGGCTGGCATTGTTTTTATAATTCATCAGCTGGTAAAAATCGTTCTAAAAGTGTTTCCAATTATATGGTTCCTCTATGCCTTTATCGTTATAGTTGTGGTGTGAACAGAATGATTATTGAAACTTTAGTTATTGTCCTTTGTATGAACTGGCCTAAAAGGCGTCATATGATGCTATTTCAATTTTTCCTTTCTCTTTGAAATGTTACAAGCTCTTGGTGCATAAAGAAGATCTGTAAAGTTGCAAAGACTAAAGTCTCAAATCCAAAGAGATATTCTTTATAAAAGTTAAGAGTCAACCACACCTACCTAAAACCCTCCTTATTCTCACTGTAGAATTATGCGGCTGCCATGTCGTGAAGGAAATGTCATCCAGATCTGTCCCATTTGTAGAACAACACATTTAAACTGATTGACATTCAAGACCACAACCGCAGTGCAGTCTTTTCTAATGTAAAATGCTTAATTACAATTTCTTCAAGCCTTGATTCTGTAAGAATGATGATAAAGACTGTTATAGTATTGTGTGAACATATCGTTTCATCTGTGTAACCAACTCACCCTCATGCTGTGGATCTGAACTTTTGTTTAGTGAGGTCTTCTAAAAACAGACACATGATTTACTGCCGAATCTTCAGGGTATACAAGGCCAGTCTTTTTCTTCAGTGATTGCACCAGCACTATATCACCATGGCAACCTGCCCTGCGGCCATAGCAGGCATATTTAAGCAGGATTAGAGGCAGTCACGGCATAGAGGTTGAGAAACAGGCATTTAGTCAACGCTGCTGTTCTACTCAACCATGTTAGACGGCATTAAATACTGTAGGAAAAGAGAAGCAAAGGTACGTCAAAGAGCCAAACCATTTTTATTGTCAGTACAGGCGGCTAACGGGCACCTTACATGTTACAAGTACAGTAGTGTTTTCAAGTTCAAGTATGTGTGAGTTGTGTGTGTACGTCAGATGTTTGCAAGTTGATGCCACAGGCAGGAGGGCATAAAACTCTCCATCTTGTCTGCAAAAAAGCCCAGTGGTGCAAAGAGGGTGCTGAAGAACTGCAGAGAGAGAAAGAGAGGAGAGAGAGAAAACAGTCAGATGGATTTGAACTAATAACTAATAACCACACACTTCTTAAAGATTTCATGCAAGACATTTAAGAAACAGATCATATATATATATATATATATAT